GATCGGTAGTAAATGAGAGATATGTGAATTAAAAATATGTACATTACTTAACCTTTCATCTGATTTTTTAATTTTAGTAGTGACAATGTCCGAATTATTTTGCGTTAGTATTCCTGTGTAAAAAAATATGACGATTATACGATTATATTACAATATATCTGAAAAATGTTAGAAAATGAAACAATTGTTTAAAGGTATCCTGTATATCATAGCATCTATTTGCTTCGCCTGTATGGAATGTTAATAAGGCGTAAGATAATATAATCATTAATGTAATATTTCTTAAATGTATATTTCATACTTAATTTTATTTCATAAATACTATCACATTTATTCCTATGAATCGTTTACATTTATTACGCTATTATGAGGTAGGATGTGTAAATTATTACCGTTCCATTCAAATGTAGCTTTTATAGTATTATTTATCGTATCAATACCTTAAGCTGTTTATAAAAAAGGAAAAAGTATTTTAAGACGAAAGAAAGATATAGGGATAGAAATATAAAAATATTTATTATATTGCAAATATATTTTTTATATATTAGTTTTTTATATACACTACCGCTCATTAATTTTAATATACAACAGATTTGTTGATTTCTCTGTAAAGGATGAACATCATGATACGTGTTTTGCACAGGAATGAATGCACTTGCTGTTATAAATATTTCACTTGCATGCATCGCATCTTTATATAAATAATATATAAAATTGCAATGCGTGCAAGTGTTGAAGGTGTTTATAACAGCAAATTGTATTTAACCGAACTCGAAATCAGTATAAGATGAATCAAAGGACTGCAACGTTGAAAGTTCTTATGACTTGTGTGTGGTTGCTGCACTTTTACAAATTCCACAACTTCTTCACAGTCTGCGCGCAAAAATCAACTTGGCACATTAAGTTGTAAAGTTATACGTTTGCCTTCTTGGAAAAGTTTTTTTGTCTGCATTATAACGACTAATTTGTTTGAATTTATATAGAAAAAAAGATCACCCGAAACTATATTTTTGGGCCAAGGTTCGATTGATCCCGCTGGAAACTGGGAATCTATAGTTAACGTGACGTACACTATAGATTTTTAGTATTGGCAATCTATAGTTTACGCCACATACACTATACATCTTCGGTCCTAGCGGGAAAAACCAAACGTATGTCAAATAATTACGACAAAATGATGTAAATATCTACATATTATTACTGTAAGCGTATGGAATATAATTTATTTACTTGAAAAATACTGTATATTTCAAGAGATTATTTTATTAAATCAAATTATCCAACATCTATTTAATCCTCTGTTGCAAAACTTAATTGCATATTGAAATTTAAAAATGTATACAATATATTTCAAAGATTTGTGCAAAAATGAAATAAGCATAAAGCGGGGAGCACACACTTCTGTATAACGCATAATGCGTAAGCATAAGAAAATTGATTGGTTTAAGCGGGGAGCACACACTTCTGCACAACGCATAATCCGTAAAGGCCATCGCACACAAAATGCATAGCTTAGCATAAGCGTAGCATAAAACCGCTGGACCAATGAGCATCTTATGTAAATCAATATGGCGACTTTATGCTGGATGCTCATTGGTTTAGCGGTCTTATGCTATGCTTATGCTAAGCTATGCATTTTGTGTGCGATGGCCTTAAGCATAAGAAAATTGATTGGTCCATGCACATGTGCATAAGGAAATAGACCAATCAGTTTTCTTATGCTTACGTATTATGCGTTATGCAGAAGTGTGTGCTCCCCGCTTTAAGTCAATCCAGACGAACTTGCATAACGCATAAACATAAGCATAAGAGATTTGATCGGTCCATATGCATGTGCATAAGGAAATAGACCAATCCGTTTCTTTATGCATATGGTTATGTACCTATGCAAGTTTGTCTGGATAGACTTTTTATTTTCTTATGCACATGTGTATGGACCAATCAATTTTCTTATGCTCACGCATTATGCGTTATGCAGAGGGGGTCAATCATGAATCTTTTCCCCTAGGGTGGAAACGTGAAAAATGAAAAATCTCTCTTTCTATTGATGTTAAATAGAAAGAGATAGTCATATAAAACTTTTCACTTTCCACGTTCCACATTAATACATGATTAAGTGTGTGCTCCCCGCTTAACCATCGATATGTAATCTTCCATGAACTGCACATGCGCGCATAGACAAAGACAGCAGGGGCTCATATGCAGCGCTCTCTTTCTATTCCTCTATCGCTTTTTTAGCTTGTTTGCATACTCTATTCATGCTCTATTCTTATATCTCTATGGTTCGTAGTTGCTATATCTTGTCAATATGACAGGTCTCATAATATGATAGTCGTCAAACTCGTCAACTTTAACTGTTAATATCTCGCTTTGCGGGGCAGAGCGACGCATTTTCTGCCAGATTCTTTCGTTTCACGCAAAAACGCGTTGATTAAGCCTAAGTTCAACGAAATCGGTGAGGAGGCCTCTATTCTGCACATTTACCAAAAATAGATAGCATTACAAATAAAAGTAATGTACGTATATTATATTGTGTGTAATATATATTAAGTGTTTTCTATTTACATCAAAAAACTCAGATAATTCTCACTTGTAACGTCGTTCTATCCTTTTTGGCAATTAATGAATAATAAAGACAGAATCGAATTATCTGTTACAAATTAGAATTATCTGAGTTTTGATGTAAATATTGTAAATGAAAAGCTTCTATTAATGTACTATTAATAATGTATATGTATATGTTACGGGTGAACTTCGCATGGTGTATAATGTCGAGCATTGCATCGAACAATTGCACATTGTTCGAGCAATGTTAGCATTAGATCACGTATTTATATATATATTATGACTCATATTCTTAATTTTCTTTTAGCGATAAAAAAGTGCGCTTTTATTGATAAAAAAGAGTTGAGAATATGGGTCTATGTATATTATACATAACTTGGCAATGTCGATATTGTATATTATGCGAACTTCGCTCGTAATACATTTTTTTTTGTTTATATATGTCGCTTATTTAATAGCATGTAAAAAGAACATTAATCTCTTATTTGGTAATTAAAAGCAAAATGGCGAATAATCGCGATAAATCGATATATCAACCGTTATATAATATTGCCTTTTTTATATTTTATATTTATTAAGTTCAGTTAACAAACCAAACATGTGTTAAATTTACATATGAATGTATTGATTACTTAACGCAACAACTTTAACCAGCAAATTTTTGCATAAAATCATTTCCTATTGTTCTTATTACATTTATATTATTTAATATATATAATCTGAAAAATTAGCTCTTATTATTAATATAAAAAAGTGTACAAATTAGAAACTTGCATATTGTTTTCTCATCATTTTAAAATGTGCAAATTAGAAATTTATATATTGCATCATTATTTTATTTCGCTCACTGATAAAGCTCTTCTATTGAGGAAGCTTATATTTTATTTGATACATAATTATTAATATTTATTAATTTGACTTCTTCATAAAGGAAGCTTTATGAGTGAAATAAAATGATGATGAAGCAATGTACAAATTTCCAATTTGCATACTTTAAAATGGTGAGAAAGCAATATGTAATTGATTTGGAGTCCATAATATTGTGATAGACATTGATTTTATATCTTAGTGTATGGAAATATTAATTATTCATGAAAGCAATAACAACAAAATAAATTTTGGTAAATTTTATGTTTGTATTCAGCAATCTCTAACATTTAAAAAAATAATTAAATTAATATGTTCTTCTCACACACAAAAAAGATTAGACTCTAAAAAAGGATTAATTAATATTTAATCTAAATATATCATAATAAAAATTATAATTGCAAAGTTTTCGGAAGTGGTAGACAAACCAGTTTATATTTATAATGTAAACTACCTCGAATTTTTATATTTCATTGTCAGTCATCAGAGAATTTTTTCTGCAGATATTTGAAGGCTGGCGGATAATGGATTTTTTCGTGATTGAGCGCATACACGATTCTCTATATTTAGATACTAACTTTTTGAACTCTGTTATATTGAGATTTTACTTTGGAGTATGGCAAACCTTTTGGTAATGAAGTTTTTAACAAGGTAAGATTATGCAATATAATTATAATTAAATTATTGTTTGGGAATATTATATATAACATTAACATAATCATTTTTTAAGGTAATTATAAAGGAGATAGACTTCCTTACCGATTTGGCTGAAACTTTATAATTTTGTGTATTTTGATGCGTAAAACATAAATCTGTAAGTTAAAACTGTTGTTCTCAATTTTTTAGAAAAAGCGGTATTAAATACTGAAATTGATTGTTGCATGGTTAGGATGTCTGTTACATTCACATGATCATCCGTAATGATGTAAGAGTGGAGTTATAGTAATAGTGCAGTATAACAGCAACTTCTCATAATAGTCTGGCGCCTTACTTTAATTGTGTGCTATTATTTGACTTTGTATTTATATAAACTCTTAATATACCAATTATTTTCTGCTTTAAAAAAGCCTTTTTTCTTTATTTCTATTATCTCTTCTAATCATATTGTTATACCAATTATTTTCTGCTTTAAAACAGAAAATAATTGGTATATTGAAAAGTCTATATAAATACAAAGTAAAATAAATATAAAGTTTAATAATAAACATAATTAAAGTAAGGCGCCAGTCTATTATAGGGCGGGTTGCCGTTATACTGTATTATTACTATAATTTCATGCACTTTTACGTCACTACCCATGATCATGTATGATACATCTACATTATGTTAGTATGATAGACATTCTAGCCACGCAGCTATCAATTTTAGTACTTAATAGCTTTTTTCCTAATTGAGAGTGACATTTTTAACTTACAGTTTCATGTTTTACGCGCTAATAAAATACACAAAATTGTGCAGTTTCAGTCAAATCAGTGAGGAAGCCCTTCTCTTTCATAATTACCTTTTTTAAATTACATTTGGTAATAGTTTCTTAATTCTCCTTAACAAATTTTTAATATTACAAAGAATCATTTTAATCTCAAAGAATTAAAGAAGTAACAGTACAAAATAAACATATTTAATTAAAATAAAATAAAATAAATACATTTCTCTTGTAAGAAAACTTGGCGCTGCTAGACTTCAAAATTTAAACATTAGTAATAAGATTTTTGATTGAATAAAAAAACAATAAATATAATTTAGGGAAGAATGTGACAGGAGTAAAAAAGCAGCGCCGTTTTTTTATAAAAAAATTTATTTTTTTTAATTAAATATTTTTATTTTGTACTGTTACTTTTTTAATTCTTTGTGATTAAAATGATTCTTTGTAATATTAAAAATTTGTTAAGGAGAATTAAGAAGCTATTACCACTTGGGTTGGAATAGGAAGATCCTTATTGAATAGGAATACAAAGGTATCACTTAGGTTTTATTTTGTAGAAGTAGTTGCACAACAATTATTTTTCAAAGCAATATACATATTCTCTTTGCAATTGGTGCAATTTAATTTAAAAATTTTACATCTCTTTTGAAATGCATGTCACTTGAGTTGAGTTAGGTAATATAATTTTGTAAAGGAGAAATAAAGTTACAACTTAGGTTGGATTTTTGAATTTACAAAATATATTGCGTGTACTTGGCATCTTTTTTTACCTTTTTTGAAAAAAGTAATTTTGTACTGTTTTAAGTAACTTTAATAATATACTCTTAATGTATGGATCTTGAATCATGGGCCACCTTGTATGTTATATTACATGATATATGGAGTCAGCTAATATTATATAAAGTTATATATAGAGGAGTCGTATAAAATTATATATAATTATATAATAGCTTATACATAATTTTATATATTTCTCTATAATTTGATACATATAGTTTTTCTTATTTTTATTTTTTTTTATTATTTTATATATACTTGTAATATGTAGTATTTATTATGTAAAAATAAAAGTTTAGCATATATTTTGATACATATATATCTTTTTAAATATTTGTTTGTATAAAATAATCTTGAAATAAATAAAATATTTTTATAAAGAAATATTTTTATAGAAATATTTTTTTTTCATTTTTAAAGATTTATACATTTTATTAAAAATATGTAAAATACATTTAATCGCTGTTTTTTCAGCAGGGTACACATACTTTTTGTAGAACGTAACAGTAAGGTTTCGACCAATTGTGTTGTTCCATTTTTACTTCTACGGTTACAGATGACCGAATCAAGCAATGCAATTCCTTATTGTTATTTTCTACAAAGTGTGTGTCCTGTTTTAAGGTTTAAAAAGAGTTGTTCTTATAATTAAAATTCAAATATATTATTATCCACGTTAAAATATGACAATAATAAATGTGGTCCTGTTTTATTTTTACAATTTCTTGATTACTATGTAGATAAATCATTTCAGTCTTCGAAAAAGTCTTTCCTAAATATGTAAAGAATTATTTGTACCTATTTTAATTAAATTCTTATTATTTTTGACGAGAGTTATTACAGGTTATGTAACATTTTTGCTATGTCGCTTATGTATAAGAGAGAGACAAGAATATAATATCTTCAATAATTAATTACTCGACAACCAGGCGTACAATTGTCTTCAACTGTAACATGGACGATAGATATGTATAATCCCGTAGACGAATATTGTCTATAAATTTCAACTAATTCTTATCATATTGATTTAAGCAACCAACCTCTTTAAATAATAGATACACATACGTTCCATGAAGATAACTATATGAAGCAAGTACATACATTTATAAGACGTGTTGTATGTAAAAAATATTAAAATGTCTTTTATATTTTTATGATTTATATTATTTGATTCAATGTAGAAAATAAATATAAATGTTTTCATCAGATAATCCTTAAGATAGAGAACTTGAATGGTTGTTTTTATGAAATGTGTGTACATCTTCACATTTTTACATTATTTAAAGAAATTTTAGAAAATGTATAAATCTTTAAAAATATAAGTTAAAATATTTCTTTATAAAAATATTTTATTTATTTCACAAGTATTATTTCATAATAATTACTCCAAATTTCAAGTATAAAAAAATATTATTTACGAGGCATATTAAACGATTCTAAGACTTAATTATATTTAATATATTTTTATTACAAAAAATGATCAAAATTGGTGTAGTTAATCGCGATTTCTCTTTTAAGTCACAGATCTTTATAATCTTGATCTGTTTTCTAAATGAGGACAAAAGATAGAAATATGATACATTTTATATTCTTATTTCATAGAAAGTTTATTATTATAAATATATTGTTATTATATTTGCTTGTTTTTTTTTCTTTTTCAGTTCCAGCTCTTCGTGATATTTTTGGTGAAGGCGCAACTTTTCTTAAACAATACCTCCTAATTTGAAGGACGATATACTCTTTAATTTTTAAGCAAATGTTAAAAGTTATTTATCTATATTTGTATTGTTTTAACTTGAATTGAAATTGACTTTAATTTAGATGAAATTGACTTTGACTTGGATTGAAATTAGCTTTGACTTGACTTAAAATTGGCTTTGACTTTGATTGAAATTGACTTTGACTTGGATTGAAATTAGCTCCGACTTGGATTAAAATTGGCTTTAACTTGGATTGAAATTGGCTTTGACTTGGATTGAAATTGGCTTTGACTTGGATTGAAATTAACTTTGACTAGGATTGAAATTGGCATTGACTTGGATTGAAATTGACATTGACTTGAATTGAAATTGGCTTTGACTTGGATTAAAATTGGCTTTGACTTAGATTGAAATTGGCATTGACTTGAATTGAAATTGGCTTTGACTTGGATTGAAATTGGCTTTGACTTGGATTGAAATTGGCATTGACTTGAATTGAAATTGGCTTTGACTTGGATTGTTGGATTAAAATTGATTTTGACCTATATTAAAATTGACTTTGATTTGTATTGAAATTGACTTTGACTTGGATTTAAATTGGCTCTGACTTGGATTGAAATTGACATTAACTTAGATTGAATTTGGCTTTGATTTGGATTGAAATTAGCTGTATAATTTGGATTAAAATTAACTTTGACTTAAATTGATATTTGCTTAGACTTGGTATATTTAATTAAAATTGGCTTTGTGACTTGGATTATTAGATTAAAATTGATTTTTATTTAAATTAAAATTATCTTTGACTTAAATATCAATGTATTATAATTTTAAATTGTTTTTTATTAATATTAGCATATAATATTTATAAATATTTAATATATATCAACATTAAGAAATTAAAAAAAATTTTTAAACTAATTTATATAATAATAATAGATATTAATTTTTAAAATTTCTTATATTATTAATACATTTTTATTAGTAATATTAAATACATCGGTAAATAATATTTTTATAGTTTGGTTTATATATTAAAAAGCAAGGTTTTTATATTTTTTAATTAAATAAAATTAATTAAATAAAATTATATAAATAAAATTAATTTATATATTTTTATAATGTGTATTAAAAAAATTATTAGTCATATATAATTTATATAATTTAATTAAACTAATAATTAATTATGCCTCGAAGAAAAGTAAATCGTACAGTGGAAGAAGAAGAAGAATTTCGACGTAATAAACGAGAAAGAAGTGCAAAAACTCAGGCTGAAAGACGAGAAGCAAAGCGAATGATGACTGATAAAAACTGTCAATCTTTATCAAATACTAATGAGATTTGTCCAAATATAACACAACCTTCTACAAGCTTTTCGAAAAATATAGTAATAGATTATCATACTTCCATTTCATCTATGAAAGTAGTATATCCAACAACTGAAACAGTTACTACTGCATTGCAAGCAATTAGTACATCAACAATTACAAATGTCCCTATAATAAGAAATAGTAACGATGTTATTGCGATAAATGATAGTATGAAATTGTTTAATGTTAATGATAATATTGAAATAACTCCGAATACTCGCAACTTAACTACTGAAGTTTTAAATAATAATATTATTTCCCCTATACCTAGCACATCAAATGAATTAATAAATTTAGATGATAATAACAGATTCGAAAATTTAGTCATTTTACATGAAGTGCCACCGCAAAATATTGTAACAAATGATCAAACAGTAAAATCAAAAACAATATCTACCAATATAGTTAATAAAAGTAAACAGATAAAATGGTATGAAAGAAACCGAGCTTTAGAAAAGGGATACACAGATATTGATACATCTCACCTTACTCAATTAAAAAATGTCATAGAACACTACATAGGAGAAATGAATGCATATTGCGAACATTGCTGTGCAAAACATTTTAATTCCGAAAAAGTAGCTAATAAAGGTAATTCATTTAACGATTGTTGTAGTCATGGGTCTGTTAAATTAAATCCTTTACCTCAACCTCCACATAAACTTTATGAATTGTTTACTGAAAATCATCCAAAATCAAAACATTTTTACAATCGTATTCGAGGATATAATAACATTTTTTCATTTGCATCTTTTAATGCAAATTTGTCAGACTTTAGCGCACAAAGACGTGGACCGTATTGTTTTAAAATTCAAGAACAAATTTATTATCAAATCAATACCGCGTTATATCCCGCACCAAATGAAATACCAAGTTATGGTCAACTTTTTATCATTGATAACAATGAAGCGACAGAGTGTCGATTACATCGAAACTCGAATCTCGATGAAGAAATTTTACGTTCAATAGATAATGTAATACGTACGAACAACATTTTTGCAAAATCTTATCGAATGATGCACGAAGAAATTCAAGTGCAAACGACTGAAAATAACAGTATACCTGATTTACAATTAGGATTTTTAACAAAAAGAGGCATTGATCGTGGTCGGTACAATGTTCAAAAGGTAAATGAAGTTGCAGCTGTCTTTTCTACTACGGCAGATGGTGAAATTCCGGAAACTTACGTGACAATTTATAATAAATGTAACAAGACATTACAACAAGTCAGTACAATGAATCCAAATGTAGAACCATGGATTTACCCATTATATACTATCCGTACGGTAATCAAGGTTGGCATGGTAATTTACAACGCAGAGATAGTAATAAACGAATAAGTAGAGCTGCATACGTAAAATATCGAATAGCTATACGTGATAATTTTAATATTTTTGTCATGGGAAGACGATTATTTCAGCAGTGGCTTGTAGATAGTTATGTTAAAATTGAGAAGGACCGAATTAATTATTGTAAACAGAATCAAAAACAATTACGAGCTGAGACATATCAAGGATTAATTGATTATTTAGCAAACGTTGCCAATAATAGCGACGCTCACATTGGAAAAATGGTTATACTTCCATCAACATTTGTAGGTTCACCGCGTAATATGTTGCAACATTATCAAGATGCGATGGCTATTGTTCGAAAGTATGGAAAACCAGATATTTTTATTACTATGACTTGTAATCCAAATTGGTGCGAAATTAGAGAGAATTCACTTCCGGGTCAACAACCTGCAGATAGGCCAGATATATGTGCTCGTGTATTTAATATAAAGAAAGATTATTTGATTGACGTTATCGTTAGACAAAAATTTTTTGGTGAAGTTTTAGCATATGTTTACGTAATAGAATTTCAAAAACGTGGATTACTACACATACATTTGTTGATTACATTAAAACGAGACTGTAAAATAGTAAATCCTGAAACAGTTGATAAATTTATCTCTGCGGAAATTCCTGATCCTAATGAAAATGAAAGTTTACACAATGTTGTTATGAAACATATGATTCATGGGCCATGTGGAGATTGGTGTCTAATAAATGATAAATGTTCGAAACATTTTCCAAAACCATTTCGACCTGAGACGACTATGGATGAAGATGGTTATCCGCAATATCGTCGAAGAAATAATGGATTGCTATATGAAAGACCTGGGTGGTATGTTGTTGATAATCAATATGTTGTTCCATTTAATCCAATGCTCTTGCTTTTATTTAATAGCCATATTAATGTTGAAATAGTTACAAGCATACGATCTGTAAAATATTTGTATAAATATATTTATAAAGGTCATGACGCTGCATCCGTAATCATTGGAGAGAATATAGATAAAACAATAATTCATGACGAAATTCAAGATTTTATCGAAGCTCGTTATGTCGGGCCCGTGGAAGCATGTTGGCGCATTTTAAGCAAATCTTTGCAAGAAAAAAGTCACGCTATATTTCGTTTACCGGTTCATTTACCAAACGAACATAATGTTATAATCGATGAAAACGTTAATAATGATGCGATAAGATCTGCTGTAGAACGAGTAACAATGTTGTTAGATTATTTTGAGTTAAATTTTCGAGATGAGGAAGCAAAACAATATTTATATAGCGATATTCCATCTCATTATGTATTTAAAAAAGTTACAATTAATGGCAGAACTGTTAATCGTTGGGAGAAACGTCAAAGATACTTTAATTGTATTGGTCGTATGTATTCCGTCAGTCCGTCTCAGATAGAATTTGTTTCATTTACGTATACTTTTATTACATGTTAGAGGAGCTACGAGTTTTCAAGAATTAAGAACAGTCAATAACGAAGTACATAAAACTTTCAGTGCCGCATGTTTAGCATTAGGACTCATAGAAGATGATGAAGAATGGTATCGTGCAATGAACGAAGCAAAAGTTTGGATGATGCCAAGACGACTTCGTAACTTGTTCGTACGAATTTTGATTCATTGTCAACCTGTTTATCCGAAAAAGTTATGGGACGAGTTTAAAAAAGATATGTCCGAAGATTATATAAGACGATTTGGACTTATAATGGGAATAAAGAAAGCTTACAATTATATTGACAATTTGCTTCAAATAGAAGGATCTAATATTACTAATTTTCCTGAAATGGAACAAGAAACAGAGGAACAAGTAATAATAGACAATGAAGAACAGATTGAGGAGGATACATTGATAGGTATACGACAATATGAACAATTAAGTGTAGAACAAAAACAAATTGTTGATATTATTTTAGAAGCAACAATAAATAACAATAATACTTACAATAATACTTGTTTTTATATTGATGGTCCAGGTGGTACCGGTAAAACTTTTATTTATACAACATTGTATTATTTACTTAAAAGCAGAGGAAAAGTAGTAAGTACCATGGCATTTACTGGTATTGCTGCGACATTACTTCCAAATGGAAAAACAATACACAAAGTTTTTGGATTACCTGTACCTCTTTTTGCCGATTCTACATCGAACATTAAAGTTCAGTCTAAAGAAGCTGAAAATTTAAAACTTGTGGATGTTTTTGTTGTAGATGAAGCTCCTATGGCACCACGTTATGTATTAGAAATAATGGATCGAACATTACGCGATATAATGCAAAATGATTTATATTTCGGTGGTAAAATCGTTTTTCTTGGTGGAGATTTTAGACAATTATTACCTATAAAACAAGGAGCTACGCGTTGTGAAATTATAAATTTATCGATAAAATTTAGTACTCTATGGAAACAATTTAAAACATTTTCATTGACACAAAATATGAGAATTTTACCTCAAGAAAAAAAATTTGCACAATTTTTATTAAATTTAGGTAACGGATCTTTAAATGATCACTCGGATAATATTCATATTCCAGAAAAATGTGTAGCAAACGTTAACTCTGATATGATAAAAGATATGTATGGAGACATTATAACACATAAGCGATATAAAACTATGGCTGATCACGTTATATTATCTGCAAGAAATGTCGATGTTGATGAAA